AACGCGGTGTATTCCCTTAAGGTTAATTTTATAAATGTTTTAAAATCTTTGACCAATATATTATTAACAAGTGATAATACTGATGAAAAAAATAGAGCCAAATCACTGAAAAAAAAAATGGAATCGTTTGAATTTGTTATGTTAATGACCATTTGGGAAAATATTTTAAAATCTTTATCAATTGTATCAAAGGTATTACAATCACCACAAACCAATCTTCACAAGGCATGTGATTTATTGCAAGGAACAATTTTGTCAATTGAAAAAATGAGAGATGGTTATGATGAACTTGTTGTATCAGCAACTGGATTATGCCATACATGGGATATATCTATAACTAAACCTACAACTCGTAGAATATATTCAAAACAATACTGTGGAGAAATTCAAGGTGATAGACGACTAGATGTGCCTGAAGAAGAATTTTGTATAGCAATTTTTTATCCTCTCATTGATACAGCTTTATTTCAGTTACGAGATCGATTTAAAGGACTTCATTCTGTTTCGAGAAATTTTGAATTTTTACTTCCACAAAATATAGTTACCATGAAAGAGTCAGAAATAGTTAAATCTTGTTATGATTTCATATCATTTTACAATAATGATGTGACATCAGTTCTAATAAGACAACTAATTTCATTAAAAGAATTTATTAAAACTTCAAAAATTCAAACTATTCAAGAATTGACATTTTTTGTTATTGAATATGATCTTTCATTCCTTAATAGTGAAATTCTCACTGCTTGTATTATATATTTAAATCTCCCAATTACTGTCGCTGCGGCCGAAAGGTCATTTTCCAAATTAAAACTGCTGAAAAACTATCTTCAAAATTCAATTTCACAAGAGAGATTAACTGGCATAAGTATACTTAATATTGAAAAACTAAGGACAAAAGAACTTGATATTGAAAAATTGATAAATGACTTTGCAAATATGAAGTCTAGAAAGAAAAACTTTTTAAAATAAAATCATTATATAATACCAATAATATTTACCTATTGATTGTTTACTTTTTGTTATTGAACTTTAAATGTAATATTGTTTAATAAATTAATTTCTTTTTATTAAATTGACTATTTGACTACTGATAACTGATATATTGTTGGAGATGTGTTTAAAAATATGATGAACTCCATAGTCAACATAATTACTATTCTGCTTGACAAGCAGTATAGTGCTTGAAAAGTTTTAAAAATTGGGGGCCGTAAATGTTGTCTTGTATTCGGAGTCTGCCAAAGGTTATCTGTGGCACTAACTTTTTTTCATTATACTATAGTACAAGTACAGGGGCCCATTAAATTTTTAGCATCAGGGCCCTACAAAACCAAGTTGCGGCACTGTTATTCTGAATAAAAACACGACAGCAATCAAATTTGTTTTTAACAGCAATTAGAACACCACCTCCTCAAGTAAGATTGTTGAATATACTACATCTGTCAAAACGAAAGATGTTATAACTAGGAAGAAGACCAAGTTCACAGTCGTTAACCTCATGACGTAACCAAGTTTCCGATAGTACGATAATGTCATAACCAATGCTCGAAATGGAAAATTTTACGAACCGGAACGTTTATAAAATTAATATGCGGATTATAATATTAATTTTTAATTTTAATTATTTTAATTCGTGTTTACTTTACAATAAAATATAATTAGTTAAATAGATAATAATAATATAAAATATAATAAGTAATACAAGTAATTTTAAGCTTAAAAAATTTACAATTCAAATTGAATACATAGTTTATAATAATCTCCATAAAGCTGAATATTTGTCGTCAATTTTTTTGTCATGTTTGCGACTTTCATTGTCATCAGCAGAATGTCCACCTTTGGCTAACCATGACCGTACATATTCTTCAGGACGAAATTCAGTGAGTGGAGGGCCAATACAATTAATAAATAAAAGTGCAGAGACTGTACTAATATTTAATGAACATCTGAGGGGTAATTTCATTCATTGATTTAAAATTCAGCTCGCACTCACTTGTAGATATCGGAATAGTCGCTACGGTTTTAAAAAGTATTTGAAGTCGTCCGGAACACCTTCTTTGCCTCCTTCCAATTTGAATATTTGAAAACCCCGAACAATATCATTTTCTTTATTTAATTGAAAGTGGCGACACNGAAATAGGCCATTTTTTTGGATCTAGTACGCTAAGACTATCGATTAAATTTGTATAATTATATATGTTATCCTGTTGATCTTTTTCATGTTGACTTACATGTGATGAATTAGTTGTGATCATCCGATTTCTTAAATTATTTGATAAACCTCTGTATAGTTGGCTCGTATTAATTTGTTATACATTTACATTATGAATAGGAACATTTTTATAAATATTCAATTCAATCGCTTTTAAAGCGCAGACTAATTTATGTCCGGACTCACTTACCATCGAATCAAATACTCTAATTGTTGTTCTAATAGCTTTATCGGCTTCTACAAGAGTGATATTACGCCTTTGCAAATACTCTGATAAGTCTCCTAGTTCATCTAAAGCGTCTGCCATTGCATTAAGATTACTAACAAATTCGACGCTGGAGATCATTAATTTTAACCCGTTATACTAGCTTCTTTCTTTCGAATCTCTTGTTACATCTGTTGAAGCAGATTTAAAATGTTCATAAAGAGCAGAAAAGTTATTTAAGACAGCATTTATAGTTCGTTTACTAGACGAAACCCAGCGAACAGACAAAATTATTCCTATTTGTAAAATTTGTTTTTCTAAAGAACTTGCTACTTGTCTTAACTCATTTTGATTTTTTGGCGATTGATGATATAAAGAATACAATTTATCCACAAATATTTTAAAATGATTTATTCCAGCAATGCCAAATAATTAAGTTTGGAAACATTTTTTTAAGTCGAGTTGCTACTCCCGAATTTTTCCCAATCATTACGAAAGTTCCATCGCACGCAAAACAAACAAGACATTCTTTTAAAAATTGTTGATCAAATCCATATGTATTCAAACATAATTTGTTCGGCAGAAGTGCTACATAGTTCAATTAAATCGAAATTAAACGTATAATATGGTTCACCGGGAAATGTTTCAAAAAATGTTCGCAAAACGACCACTAATGTAGTTTTTCTACTAAGGGTCGTTGACTCGTCTACCAAAATTGATATTTTTTTTTTACCTAAAATTATATCTTTACAAATAATCGTTTTCATTTCAGTAGCCAGATGGATCGCAATTTTCGCACAGGTTTTATCTGAGTGTAACATGATCCCCATTCTAATCACGTTTAATACTTTAAAAATTGAACTTCTCTCTATATTAAGTATATTACATTAATATTTTATTTTGTCGAAAGGAAATTTTATAATTTTAATCCTCTAAATAATTGTGATACTGTGAATTTTTACGAAACGGAACTCTTTAATTTTAATTTTAACCAACCGGAACGGACGCAAAGCTTATATTACGAACCGGAACGCCGTTCCGGTGCGTTCCGGTCCATTTCGAGCACTGATGTTGCCCGAGCACTCGGTAGTCGTTTCTGTTTTTCTGCTTTATACAGGTCAATGCAGTGTTGTACTTTTTCATCAATAGAACTGTGACCATTTTGCTAAATTAAAAAAACAAAAATATATTGTGTGAATATTTTTAATTTTATTAATTAAATGTGCCCATGTATAATTATTATATACCTTTTCAATATCTTCTTCTAATATTGTTGAAATAGAGGGAAAATCAATGATTTCAGAATTAGTAGGTTGAGAATCATTCTTGTTATTTTCCTGTAATTTAATAAAACCATAATAGGTGATCAACTATGAGTATGCTGACTATTGGTAGATATATTTTTTTAATAAAAACAATAAATATAATGTGTACTACCTCCTTATTATGCATTGATGTTGAATCCAAAGTATATATTTTTTTTGATGATGCTAGAATAAAAAGGTTATCAGGAGCTCCTAAATGTTTCACTCTAACTTTTTCACCTCCATGTTGAGTCAATTAAAGGTTTTTTTATAATCGTTAAATTTTATAAAAGTATTACCACATTTTAAACATACTAATTTAGTCCTCTTTTTTTTTGTTTGTGTTCATGTTCATATTTAGCTTAATTCTTTTAAATTCACAAGTCACAGCAATAGTAAAGAACTTATAAAGAATGATAAATTACAAAAAGTTATAAAACAATTTTGAATTAACGAAATCGGAAATAATACGAATAATACGATAGTAATATAATCATTTATCAATGTAAATAATAATTTCATTAAATTAGTTGATTTGTTATTGTTTTATTGTTATCATAATTTGTTACGTGATATTGGTAATCCATACACAAGCTGTTGTTCAGTCGACAGTCTACTGACAGTACGATTAAGGATGTTTATAGATAATCGTGGTCGACAGTCCATAAGTCTTACCAAAATGTATGTTTATTAATCAAAATCCCATTTTTACGTAACGCTAGAATCAATCTATACCGACTTTCAAAAAGCATTTGACAAGGTTCAATATAATTTACTCCTTAATAAAATATCTTCTTTTGGCATAAATGGAAATTTTTTTAATTGGTTATGGTCCTATTTAGTACACAAGCGGTTAAAATTTCTCATTATATTTCAAACTCTTTCCAAGTAAGTTCTGGCGTACCACAAGGGTCCCATTTAGGTAAGCTATTATTCATAATTTTCATTAATGATTTACCATCTATTTTTGATGAATCGGTTGATATACTTCTATTTGCTGATGATGCGAAAATATTTTCCAAAATTACTTCTACAGCAGATGCTACAAGCGAATTTGGATAAATTCATATTGGGGAGTCAACAAAACGGTTCACCATTAAATATAAATAAATGTCATATTATTTCTTTTTCTTATATAAATAATACTATTATATACGATAGGTAATAAAATAGATAACTTTTTTGTCACTAGAGTTACATCAATTAAAGATTTAGGGATTATCTTCGATCATAACTTGTCAGTGGTGGCTATCCTCAAGTGTATCGACGGATACACATAATTTTGGGATGGGTCCGGGTGGGTGGGTAGGTGGTTGACTGCTTAACATATTATAGGTATTTTATTATAATATAGTGTAAATAGCAAATAGTATGTACATAATTATCTTGCTCTATTGCTCTAATTAACGCTGGTTGCAGTAATGCAGGCAATAGGCATGAAACATGCAACATGCACTGACTGACGCTGGGCAGCTGGGGAAATAGTCATAGCGATGCGTACTATTAGAATTTAGAATGATTCTAATATTAAATATACTATTAGTCTATTAAAGAACTCTGCGTAATAATATCATGATTTATGATAGTATAACACAGGGCCACTCGGGTAGTCAGGTGACAACTGGTTGTTAATCCAAATTATCTATTTTTAAACTATTTTCAAAATATTTGGAAAAATTACGTAGAACAAAAATAATATTTTAAGAAAAAAATAATTACTTTTAAAATATAATCAGGGTCTTGCAATAATAGATAATAGTATAATGCAATTTTTAGAAATATTTTAAAATATTATTTTCTCTCCTGAACATTTTCATAATATGGAAATTTCTGGTTGTTGCACCCACGACCCACGTCTTCAATTATGGTGTTAATTATGTAACAATCTGACTACGCTCGTTGATGGTGTTGAGAATAAATGAACAAGAGTTTGTGTTTTCGTTATGAATTGATTACTTTTATTTTGATTAATATAAAAACACAATAAATTTACTAAGTCCAAATTGACTATATTTTAAATAATGAAGACTAGCGAGATGTGACTGTCATATCCTAGCTCCTAGCTTGTTGTTGGTGTTGGTCCGTCTGCCGAAGCCTATTCGAGAGACATATTATGATGGCTATACTTGGATCGTATCCCTGCTTAGTACCCTACTACTTTTACCATATAAGGTCATATCGTGGGCGGCCACGCGCGGCACTCGCCGGATGTCCCTTGCTTATCTTATCGTTGTCATTTCTGTGACTACAC